ATAGGCATGAGCCACCGTGCCAGCCTTGTGCTGTGGTTTGTATTGTAGTTCATTGGTTATCAGAAGCCTTCACTAGGCTTCTTGGTATGTGTTGCACGTGTTCATTGCTTGGGGTAAGCCCTGGCCTCAGTTAGATCATGCACAGAATTAGAGGGTCACTTTCTCCTACTCTTTAGAATTTCCTTCATACTGTGGGACTAGCTGAGGTGGTTTATTTTGTCTGGTTTCCCTGGCCAAAAAACAGGTGTCTCCCAGGATTTTAGCCCCCACCATGTCATTCCTTTCCAGGTGATTGTGGAGATCTTAAGCCAAAGTAGCAATAGAAAAGATTTTTTAAAATAATGAGGATTCCTTACATACACACGTTTCAAGCAGTAGAGTCCTCTTTTCCCATTTCCTCTGATTGGAAAAGTGGGTCTTCTCTTGGAGTTTTAGGTGCTTTCACACTGTCACCCTGACACTGCAACTTCACAACTGGGGCCGCTTTCGGGACAAGAACAGAAGAGAAAAGAGGGAAAGGAAAAAACAACCTATTCCCTGCAGATACTAGTGCACTGGGACTTTCAGCCTCGTTCTCTGACTGGAGATAGGAGTTTTCTACCAGAAGTTTTGCTTCCTGTGCCCGCTAGCTCAACATACCACCCTCAAATCGAAATCAGGAGACAAAAGAGGGAGTGTTGTCTCCATTAGAGTCATAAATCAAAGTGACTAGTTTCCAGTCTGCCTGCTTCCTTATTTGAGTCCTTGGGTGTTTATAGTCTGACCAGATTTTTTAGTTATAACTGGTTAGAGGAATAGATTGTAGTCAATCTGTTCCATCTTAGGACTTAATTATTAATATTTCTAATTTTCATTTTTACTCTCAAAAAGTATCTCAGCATGGACAATTTATTTACATAAGAGGGTCTGAGACTAATTTTGTAAGTCTTAATACCAACCTTCATGAACCTAATAATTGGAAATTAAATCAGATAAGAATTCAGGTTTTCGGCTCAGCATCTGTGGCTCAAGTGGCTAAGGTGGCAGGTTTGAATCCAGCCCAGGCCCGCCAAAACAACAATGACAGCTGCAACCAAAAAAAAGCTGGGAGTTGTGTGGGCGCCTGTGGTCCCAGCTACTTGGGAGGCTGAGGCAGGAGACTC